TTATATGGCGTAAAATGTAGAACACCATTGAATTGGGTCGAGCTCGGTGATAGAAGATATTATGGCATTGACTTTGTAGAAGAAGCCGAGAAGAAAGTTCATATTATTCATTGAGAATATGAAAGCTGCCCAATCACGTCGTAAAAGCTATCTGCGATACAAAAGAAGGAGACCCTTAGTTTTGAAGTTGGTGACTATGTTTATCCGAAAGTCACGCCAATGAAGAAGAAAAGGTTTGGAGTCCAAGAAAGCTTGCCGCGAGATTCAGTAGGACCATACAAGATCTTAGAACAAAGAGGTCCGGTAGCCTACAAGTTAGAGTTACACGAGACAATGAGTACTTGCTTTTTCCAGCTTTTCCATGTATCACATCTCAAGAAATGTTTGCGTGTTCCAGAGGAAAGAATAGAACCTCGAGGTATTCAACTCAAATCAGATTTGGTGTATCGTGAGCAACCAGTCCGGGTGTTAGACACTAAGGAACGTGCTACTCGGAATAGTGTGGTGAAAACATACAAGATACAGTGGGATCATCATGATGAGAGAGATGCAACTTGGGAAACAGGAGAGTATCTGCAAAAAGCTTATGAAGAATTTTATAACAAATGGTTCGTAACCCAAATCTCGGGACGAGATTTTTATAAGGGGGGAGGGCTGTAACACCCCGGTGTTATGCCTGCATTTAGGCACTGCAAATCCTGCATATCATGCATCATCAAGCATCCAACTCATACATGCTTAATCATGTGAATAACAATTGAAACATCGCCTTGAAACATGTGAAACATGATTAGGAAATAAGAGTATCATTTCAAGTGTTTTCATCATTTCAGTACCTTTAGTGCTTGATTATTGTATGACCAATGTGTGGTATAGCTAAATATATTGTTAAACATCTTAGCTATGCTTAGAAAGTCGTTAGGAACAATGTTCATGTTGATCATTTTGCCCAATTAAGATTTCAAATCATGGTTTGACTTGTTTTGACCCTAGGACTTTTTGGTTTGACTGTTTAAAAAGTACCACTTAGAATGTTTGCATGTCAGAGCAACCTAAAACAAAGTTGTAGCAAATTACATAAGGAACAAAAGTTATTTTGTGACCAAGTCATGAAAATGTGCACAACATGCTCAAAATGGTCCCACAAGTCAGAATTTGGGTTGATTTCAACACTTCGCAATTTCTAAGTATAAATTCCAGTTTTCAGTTTCTTGAACACGACTTTGGCATGATTTTTCTCTCTATCCTTTGCGAATTAGACAGTGATCCTTAAATGAGTTTTGTAGTTGGCATGTAGGTGTGCAACTTTCGTTTTGATTTCTCTCGCTAACACTCAACGGATTAGGAGATCGAGCCTCGTATTTTGGCGCCACGTCGATCGACCTTTCGTTCTCTCGAATCATCGCTTTCTGAAGGCCGACGAGTTCGAAAGATCATCGCCGCGTGGATGCTGCTGTCGTCGCCGGTCTTCTGCTCACAGAACCACCGCGCCATGCGCGCCGTTCCAGCACCACTGGCCTCGCCTTAAGCCCCAGCACTGCTGCCGCCGTTCCGGCTCGTTTTTCGTTTTTTTCGTTTTCATTCGCCTTTCGCTCGCTCACGGCTACACCGCCAAGCACAGCAGAATCCGACGAGCTCGCTCTTGCTCGCCCGTCGCAAAATCGCTTCGATACATCTTCATCGCAGTGCCGCCTTTGTTCTCTTCTACCTCCTCCACCCCTTGGCTGCACCGTCGAGAGTTTTGGTAAGGCGCATTGTCCGCTCCCCGACACCGCCGCCATGTGTGTGTCCTCACCGGAGTTGAGGCCGCCGTGGTTGGGGTATCTTGGGACTCTTACGTCTTCTTCTAGTTGCTTAGATAGCTCCGTAGTAGTCTAGTAAAGCTTGTGCCAAGCTTGATTGTGGCAATGTGAGTTAAATCGTCGCCGGGAGCGTCGCGATCGATCATTGCCGCTTGCACCGCTGTCTTGGCGCTGGCGTGGCTGGCTAGGTACGGTGAGAGGTTGAAATGAAGGTCCGGATGGGTGCGCATAGTGGTGGGGAGCACGCCGGTGCCGTCGGGTTCACCGGAGAACTTCATGCGTCGGCGAATTTCACAGCTACTTGCCACAGCCGTCGTCTCCTCCATCCCCTGTTTCCTCTCGGCGACTCATGAGGTCCCATTTGCCGATCGCCCACTTCTTTGAGGAAGCCGGTCTTTGGGCTGCGCGTCGTTGCAGGGCGTGTGTGTGCTGCAGTCAATGGCTGCCTAAGCCGTCCGGGCTGGCCCAATGAACGCTTAAGTGAATTGATTTTCATTATTCTTTATTATTTGAAATCTAAAATGGTTTGAAAAATATTTGGATGGTCAAACTTGCTCCAAATTTGTTGAAACAAATTTTGCTAGGTTCCTTATCATCAGATCTACTTGGGAAAATTATTGCATGTCATTTTTGAGATACTTTTCTATAGGATTTTATTTAATCATGTAAATTGCTGATAACTTGAAAAATGTGTATAAAAATATATAGGCTTCAGAAAAATATGATTTCAAGTTTGTTCATCTTCTTATGTCATGTACTTCCTAAGAAAAATAGGTTTCATGCAAGTGCTGTGGGAAAATTTTGAGGTGTAGTTCAAGTCCCTTTAATGACTGATTTTTGTTATTTTTGCTAAAAAGCCAAAGTTGCATAAAACATGCATCTGATAATTTTTGTACAGTCATTATATGCTATTAAGAACCTAGGAAAAAATACTAATTCTGTTGTTTGACACTTTTCATAGTACAAAGTAATTTCATGCTCATTTTTATGCTATAGCTTGTCATTTTTGTGTAGGATAGTTTACTTATCCAAATGCTATGAAATTTTTATGGTAGTCTGTTTAGGGTAGTATTATGCTACTGTAATTTTCTCAGATTTTTTGGAGCATCAGAAATATATGTTGCTATTCAAACCTATTATTAATTAGGGTTTAAGCAAGTGTTGCTTTAAGTGTGATTAGGAAATTAGTAAAGCTTTGGTGTATCTTTGAAGCATTTAATAAGATGTGTTGACTTAACCTATTAGTAGTAGAAGAGAATACAGTAGATGACATGTGCTTGTAGTATATTTTCTTGGATGATATGACTACCTTGCTGTTTAACATATCCATTGCATTCATCTCCTTCGATGCACCGTTTGCATAATCACTTTCGCGCATTGCATCATACAGGATCGCAAACCGAGAACCCAGCCGTCATACCCGAGGAGCCCGAGGAGCAGCTCGAGGTGCAGCCGCAGGAAGTGCCAGAAGCCGACGAGGAGGACGTTGAGGAGCTTCCGGAGTGCCCCGATCACCGTCCGAGCTCCTTCGAGAGAGGCAAGCCCCGGAGTATCTTTCTCCCGGTTTGCAATGATTTCATTAAATGTTTTACTTTAAATTGATGCATTACGTTCAGGAGTTGTTTGCAACCGTTGCTGCATTGTACCTTGTTTACCTTTGTTATACTATATCCTTGTTACCCTGGTATCCGCAGTCGAGTCAATGCTTAGCTGGCTTAGACCGGTAGAAGTCGGGTGATTTCCTGTCACCTGCGAGCTATAGGTGGTTACCTGGATCTGCTTGGATGGCTATGAAGTCATGGTATAACTAAGTGTTAAATGAAGTTGAGACCGGGCGGAGACTTGCGGGGTTTTGGACCGTAGTGTTTCCGTGCAGTAGTCGATTAAGGACCGACCGTTGTTGGGCCTCGAGTCATGTTGAACGCATGCCTTATATTTAGCGGCGGATAAAGTACCTTCCGACCGCTGGAGCCGGGAGATTTTCGGGCCGAGTAGATTGCTCATGCCGCTTGATGTTGGCCAAGCAGTGTGGTAGTAGGACACGGGCGGGATGATAAGACCAAAGTGCGATCGGTCGGCCCCGGTACATGTGGTTCTGGCAAACTCGAGATACCGGAAAGTTGACTCGGTGATCAATATCTCACTTTAGCGGGCGAGTGAGATTTGTGTAAGGAATAAATCACCACCGGTTAGGAATCGATTCGAATCGCCATCGCTCCCCGGATAGTGAGCACTTGACTTGAGTTACTTCATCGTAGTAAATGTTTATGGAACACTTGGGACAGTTATAGTGAATATGACAGTATGGAAGTTGTTTAATGATCAGTGGTTATCATAAATTGCTTAATCACATGTTTACTCTAGTATAGGTGCAAATCTAGTCGACAGGTTAATAATAATTACTTGACAATAATGCTTTTAGAAAGGTTCTTGAAATGCTAAAAATGCTTCTTTTGCAAATGAGTCAGCTACCCTACTATAAAGCCTGCATAATCCTTGGTGTCATTTATTTTCGGTTATGCCGGGTAAGTCTAGCTGAGTACCTTCTCGTACTCAGGGTTCTATTCCCACTTGTTGCAGATGGGCAGATGTATTACGGCTATTGTATCAACTGCCTCTATCCTGCGATGGGTGATGCTTAGGACCATGGGCATGGTCATTCCTTACGTCTCATCTAATGCTTTTGTTGGAGATGATCATTCGCTGGCACTATATTTAAACTCCGCGTGAGTGTGTGTGTGGTTTGAACAAATGACTTCCGCTACTTTTATTCGAACTGGTTTGTAATAACTATGTTTAAACTCTGATGTATCTGAGATTGCGAACTTTTATGTAATATGTGATGGTGACCGCTAAACTTATTACGATCATGGCTGGGACACGAGTTGGTTTGAAATCCTTTGTGATTTCACGGACTACCGGGTTATACGGGCTTAAGTTTGTTAAATCGTCTGCTCTGGTGGATGATTTTCTTACTTAATTTCGTATAATTGGTCGGTTCTGTTACACTCCTCAACCACGGCCGCAAAGAACAGAGCAGTCCTCCAATGTAAGTCTTTAGTTCTTCTTGTTCTTGCTTAATGCCTAATAGATCCAGATGCCTAATGGTTGATTTGTGACAATGCGAGTTGATTAGTTAGTTAGTTTGTACCCTGACTAAGTACCTAAATGGCTAGTTTTTGTTTTGATGTCTTGTAGATGGGGGACATTGAAGAAACAGTGGTGCATCTGAATGTTCAAGTGAATGAGAATGAAGTTGTAAATGGGGAGAATGCCAAGCAGGATGAGCAGCAGCAGTCCAAGGATGGAGAGGAGGTGGGAGATGAGGAAAGCAAGAAAAGGAAGCCCATGGTTCCAAGATCAGATGTTTGGGAACACTTCAGCAAGATCAAACTTGATAATGGGGAGGAGAGAGCCAAGTGCAAGTACTGCGGCAAGCAACTCCGCTGTGACACAAAGTTAAATGGTACGTCCTCCATAAAGGCTCATTTGAAAATCTGCAAGAAGAATCCTAACAAACCTGTAGTAGATAATCAAGGTACTTTACAATGGTTGAGCGGCTCGTTTGTACAAATGATTGGCTTCGTGGAAACAACTACATCAGTGTTGAAGAGGACACAGAAGCATTGGTCAAGCTTGAGGAAGGTAATTTTTAATGCTAAGTCTAAGTTGTTATCATTTCTATTGTTTATCTTGATAGCTTATTGTAGTAACATGACTATACTGAGTACTAACTAAAACATAATCACTTATTGTAGAAATTGGTGCCCTGGCCATTTCTAAGGATAGCACTACTGCTATTACATCTTGATAATGGTAAGTCGGTTAGCTGGGCGCCTAGACACAGCCTGGTGACGCCATGGAGCATTGTTCTCTCGTTGTTGTTGATGCCTGCGGCTGGAACCTGTTTTTTCTTGTTGTTTATCAAAACTGATGGAGTACTGTGGTTTATTATCAAGAATGAACTGCAAATTTGTAATATTTGATTTGAGCATTGAATTGTTAAGTTTGTAACAGTCTCGAGTCTTAAATAATATACTGTGATGTGCAAGTTTGTACTGTATTGTGCTGTCAGTTCTAAATCCTGTCTGATGTTTTCTTACATCGGTTTATTCGATTTTAACCGAAAAACCGAACTAAAAAACCAAATCAAAATTGATCAGTTTTTAGAATTTTAGCAAACCGATCGAGATCATTTTCTGAAAACCGAAATTTTGGAAAACCGACCCAACCGAACCAAACCGTCGGTTGAAACCGAACGCCCAGCCTGATAGGAAACCGCCAGCACCTCCCCTCCTCTGTCCCCTCTCTCCTCTCCTCCGTCCGCCCCCTTTTTATCGCCCGATCTCACACATTTTGGAAAGAGGAGAGAGATTAGAGGGAGACCCCCTGCCCAAGGAAAGAGAAACCGCGGCGCGAGGAAGAGGGAGGAAGGGCAGAGGAGGGAGGGCGAGCAAGATGAGAGAGATCATCAGCATCCACATCGGCCAGGCCGGGATCCAGGTCGGCAACGCCTGCTGGGAGCTCTACTGCCTCGAGCACGGCATCGAGCCCGATGGCACCATGCCCAGGTGAATGAATGCTCGATCCTGTCGATCCGGCCGCCGGACGCGTTCCTCCTGTTCCTTTTTTTTTTTTTTGGCAGCGCGCATCTGTCGCGCGTTCTAGGGAGCCGGCTCCTCGAAATTCTGGCGTGCTCGTTCGTCGCATTTCCTTAGATGTTTCTCGTTCGCTGCGTTTTTTTCCCTATAATTCGGTGGAGCAAACGATGGGGCGGGTAGGTGTAGTGGTGGTACTTCCATGTCGGCTCCGTAATTTTGGTTCGTTTGTTCCTTTGCGTTGTACTTCTAGTCTGGTCCTTGCGATGGGGGTTTGTTTGGCTGTGATGTGTTGTGGTTTGTTAGGTTTTGGTACATTTGTTTGCCGGTTGTTGAGAGATTGCATGAGCCGGGCTAGATGCGACGTTTCCCCGGGCTAGATGCGACGTTTCCTAATTAAGATAATTAAGAGCTTGCCTGTTAACTGGTGCATTTGTTCCTTTCCTGCGAATTAGGCAGGCGCCACAGAAGGATGCGTTGAGGTCCTCGTGTAGAGCACGTTTATTCATGTGTACTTGGGGACAAATAGGGTTTCCAGCTCTGTATGTAAGGCGCAAGATCTGAAGAACTGAATCTGTGGGGATGTTTAATAAATAATAATGTAACCGAGGAGCTCTGATGAATGTCAGACCATGGATCTCCCTGGATTCACGATCCTCTGTTAAAAGTGGCATGCTTCTCTCTGTTTGCCTGATCTTGTAGTACCATAGAAAATTGCCCTAATGCTACTTTGCCTGATAATAGAAAATCCTGTTTAGGACCCTGACGAAGCAGGTTTCCTAGGCTATAAATTATCTTTTAGCGCATATGCCAATGATTACTGCCTTGTTAGAGTGCCTCGCTATCCATTTTTTTAACACTATGGTTTGATTGTGATGCAGTGATACCTCGGTTGGCGCCGCACATGATGCCTTCAACACGTTCTTCAGTGAGACCGGTTCCGGCCAGCATGTGCCGAGGGCCATCTTCGTTGACCTTGAGCCCACTGTCATCGACGAGGTTCGCACTGGCTCGTACCGCCAGCTCTTCCACCCAGAGCAGCTCATCTCGGGGAAGGAGGATGCAGCTAACAATTTTGCCCGTGGCCACTACACTGGTAATTCACCTTGTGTCTGTGAATATGTAATAGGAGTGGGTCTTCTGCTTCTGCAACTGTGGATATGTTCAATTCTAACTATTGTGGAACGCAGTTGGGAAGGAGATTGTCGATCTATGCCTGGACCGCGTGCGCAAGCTTGCAGACAACTGCACTGGGCTGCAGGGATTCTTGGTGTTCAACGCTGTTGGTGGTGGTACTGGCTCTGGACTTGGTTCACTGCTATTGGAGCGCCTTTCAGTTGATTATGGCAAGAAGTCTAAGCTCGGTTTCACCATTTATCCTTCCCCACAGGTATGACCTTACCTATGCCAGAACTTTATATTAGCATCCTAGTATGAGTATTCATGGATGTCACAAAAGAAAAACGTATTCGTATAACTATTCCTTCCAAAAGAACGTTGGGTTAAGTATCTGAGAAATGGAAAGAATACATGAAGCAGGTCGACAATTTATAATTACACCAACAGGAAACGGTTTTATATAGAACTAATTTATGGATCATGTAATTTGGCGGCACTGTTCTTGTCTTCTAAATTTCACAGATATACACTGATTATTGGATCAGCCTAGATTATTTAAATCATGTGTGGACAAAACAAGCAACTGTTGTGGACTTCTGGTTAGTGAGGAGGACCTTCCTGTATATGGTTTAGTCCATGATTAGTACAACTGTCACAGGCTACAGGACTTCTTTATGAGTGTCTTTAAATCATGCATTGCATATGTGCCAACATTATTCTATAGTGCTGCTCCCTCCTGTCCATGTGATGTGGGCCATTCAGCTTGTTCATGTGAGTAGGTTTTCTGCATCTTAGCTGTTGTGGGGACAGTGGGTAGAGATGTTCGATGATTTTGGGTCTGGTCCATTGTTTAACTTTTCATCTAATGCCACTCTGGATTGCAGGTGTCAACAGCTGTTGTAGAGCCATACAACAGTGTCCTCTCGACCCACTCCTTGCTTGAGCACACTGATGTTGCAGTCCTCCTGGACAACGAGGCTATCTATGACATATGCAGGAGGTCTCTTGACATCGAAAGGCCAACCTACACCAACTTGAACAGGCTGATCTCACAGATCATATCATCACTTACCACCTCCCTGAGGTTTGATGGTGCTATCAATGTGGATGTTACTGAGTTCCAGACCAACCTTGTTCCATACCCACGCATCCATTTCATGCTTTCCTCATATGCCCCTGTAATCTCTGCTGAGAAGGCCTACCATGAGCAGCTCTCTGTGCCTGAAATCACCAGTGCTGTCTTTGAGCCCTCAAGCATGATGGCCAAGTGTGACCCAAGGCACGGGAAGTACATGGCTTGCTGCTTGATGTACCGTGGTGATGTTGTTCCCAAGGATGTCAACGCCGCAGTTGCAACCATCAAGACCAAGAGAACTGTCCAGTTTGTGGACTGGTAAGCTGTCTTTCTCGCAACTTTAGTTGCGCTTATTTTATGATATCACAAGCTTATCACTTGATTCGAGATGCTAACTAACTCCATTATGCTGCCGCCTCACAGGTGCCCCACTGGATTCAAGTGTGGCATCAACTATCAGCCACCCTCTGTTGTCCCTGGAGGCGACCTGGCAAAGGTCCAGCGCGCCGTGTGCATGATCAGCAACAACACTGCCGTTGCCGAGGTGTTCTCGCGCATCGACCACAAGTTCGACCTTATGTACGCCAAGCGTGCATTCGTTCACTGGTACGTCGGTGAGGGTATGGAAGAGGGCGAGTTCTCAGAGGCCCGTGAGGACTTGGCTGCTCTTGAGAAGGACTATGAGGAAGTCGGCGCAGAGGGTGCAGATGACGAGGGTGACGAGGGAGACGATTATTGAGTAGCTGGTTAATAAGTAGTTCTCTGGTGGTTAATGGTTGGGTTATTTTGAGTATACTCTGTATGGCTCCACTCCATTGCGTACTGCTGCTGTGTGTGTTTCCATTTTGTATTCTGTGGTAAATTGTTCGTAGCCCCCAATTGGCCATGATTGTTTATATCATCCAGCTTTGGTTTGCAAATGCTATTTGTCCAAGTTCGGTGTTTATGTTCATTCTGTTGCAAGCGTTGTGTGCTCAACCATTGAGTTTTACTTAAAAACAAAACCATTAGGTCTTTTACTCTGCGCTGCAGCTTGTGTCTGGAACATGCGAACATTGAGATTTGAGAAGATACAGTCTATCACAGCCACAGCATATATTGTTGCAGGTAGGTTTGACGCTACGATCACTGACCATCAGTCGCCAATGCATTTGAGGTGGATAAAATGTTGTGAAGATGCGAATTGCTTGAGCATGTGCACGGGCACGGCTCATGGTATGGTGGCATGTTGGCTCGTCTGGCACGTACGGCGAGCGCTGGTTGAGCATATTCCCGCGGTTTTGTCCAGATGTGGTTGTCGGGATGAGTAAGGAGTGGGACAACTTGGAAAGCGTTTTGAAAGAGGCCGGAGACCTGGCGCCAGTGGGCAGTGGCAGTAGTTTGGTGGCCTAGTGGCGCTTTAACTTGGCTGTCTGTTCATGATCTCAGAACTACTGCGTCTGGATCGAAGTTAACAGGCGGCATTCTGGTCGCATCCTGTGGCTCGGCTTGGATCAGTGCAGCAAACCACGATTTGCAAAAGAAAGAGAAAAGGAGTTTCACAGAGACGTGGCGGGAGATCAAGGCACCACGGCCATGAACTGAGAGTTCACACTCACACTTCCGTAGGCATCAAACTGGCAGCCATGAAGAGGATTCACCAATTGAGATTTCAGTCACCGACTTACCGTGCCGAGTGCCAACTTCTGAGTCTTCAGACCAGACGATGTCCGGTCCCGCTCCTGCTTACCGCCTTGTTGGTATGCACATGCGTTTACTTCAATCCACATGTATTGAAGTATAATGTAATAGAATTTAATTTAATTTCACTTCAATCCACTCCAATATATATGAATTAAGATAAATACATGCGTATTAAACAATGCCTTACGCGTGCGTGTGCGTGCCCCGCCTCAGCCCATCCGCCATCCGGGGACTGGGGCGCCGAGGCCAGGGCGGCTCCGTAGCCAACTTGCGAGGCGCCTGCGCGGCCGGCGGCCGCCACGTTGTTCGCGTTCCGAGTTTTCAGCGCGCGACGCCGGTCGAGCTGCCCGGGCACGCGCGTTTCCTGTTCCTGGCCTCGTCGTGGGCGTTGCGGGTTGCGGCTCCACGCCCATACGCAATGCTGTTGGATGCTTGCCGCGCGCGTCCTCACATGCGGTGCGGACATGCCGGTACCGGCCGCTCGATCCGTGCAGACAAGCGGCGGTACTGGCGGAGCTGAGTTTTCGACTTTTCGCGGGACAAGGCCTACATCGTGATGGGCGAGAGGGAGCACGGCTGCACGGGAGACGTCGAGGAGGGGACCCGGCTCCACTATCAGCTCTCGAGCACTTGGGCCGGCCTGCGTAACGTGGTCTTGTGCTTCAGGCCGGCCCAACGAATCGTGCGTGCTAGATAGGCCGCAAAAAGGACCATCCAGTTGCCGGGTTTGAGTTTTCCAGGCTATTTCGTCGCGGAAAAAGTCCATTTTACCTTCGGAACTATTCTCAAAGTTTAGTTTCCTTTCCTGAACTCGAAAACCAGATGAACCACCTCTTTAACTTTGAAAACCGTTCAGTTTACCTCCTGACCCAGTTATAGCTGGTTTTCGAAGACGGTTTTATCTTTTTCTTTTTTATTTATTTTGACTGAATATTTTAAAAATCATAGTAAATCATTAAAAAATTATAAAATGAAAAATCCAATTTCGTTGGACTCCACAAGCGTATATCTAACAATAAACATATAATATGGTATGCTTTAGTATAAAGTTTCTGCTGTAGGTTCAGATCTATACTTTTCTGTAATTAATTCATAGCTGCAGTTTCTATGGTTCAATTGTGGTAAAATTTTTATAATGGTCTAATTATTGTATGCTTTAACTATAATAAAATTTTCATTCTCGTTTCTATTTTTACACACCATATTATATATTTACTGTGTAGATCTACTCATGTAGAGTCGAAGAAATTTCTATTTTCCATTTTATGATTTTTCTGTGATTTATTATGATTTTTCAAAAATTCAACCAAAATAATTAAAAAAGAAAAAGACAAAACCGCCTTTAAAAGCCACCTATAACTGGGTCAGGGAGGTAAAATGAACGGTTTTAAAAGTCGAGGAAGGTGGTTTAGCTGGTTTTGGAGTTTAAGGAGGAAGACCAGACTTTGACAATAGTTCAGGGAGGTAAAATGAACTTTTTTCTAGAAAAACTCTACATTACCTCCCTCAACTTTGGGAAAGTCTGCTTTTTCTCCCTAAACTCTAAAATCGGTTAAACCATCTCCCTAAACTTTTAAAACCATTCGTTTTACCTCCTTGACCGGTTATAAGCGGTTATCAAAGACGGTTTTGTCCTTTTTTATTTACTTCGGCGGCTGAATCTTTGAAAAATCATAGTAAATCACAAAAAATTCATAAAATAGAAAATTTAATTTTGTTGGACTCCACATGAGTAGATCTACACAGTGAACATATAATATGGCATGTTTTAGTATATTTTTTTTGTTATAGCTTTAGATCTATGCTTTTCTATAATTAATTCATACCTGCAGTTTCTATGGGTCAATTGTGGTGAATTTTTTATGGTGGGCTAATTATTGTGTGTTTAAACTGTAGTAAAGATTTCATACTCATTAAATCATATATAACTTAGTTATAGATTTATAAATACTTTTTAACAAGCATACGCCTAAATAAATCTATAACTAAGTTATACATGATCCAATGAGTATGAAATCTTTACTACAGTTCAAGCATATAATAATTAGTCCACCATAAAAATTTCACCACAATTGAACCATAAAATATGCAGCTATGAATTAATTACAGAAAAACATATATCTAAAGCTACAACAAAAAAGTTGTACTAAAGCATACCATATTATATATTTTCAGTGTAGATCTACTCAAGTGGAGTCCAACAAAATTGGATTTTCATTTTATAATTTTTCTATGATTTACTATGATTTTTCAAAGATTCAACCAAAACAAATAAAAAAGAAAAAGATAAAACTGCCTTTAAAAACCGCTTATAACCGGTCAGGGAGGTAAAACGAACGGTTTTAAAAGTTCAGGGAGGTGGCTTATCCTGTTTTAGAATTCAGGGAGGAAAAACAGACTTTCGCAAAAGTTGAGGGAAGTAATATGGACTTTTTCCTATCTTTTTATATAAACTTAGTCGAAGTTCAAATTGTTTGACTCCTCAAAAAACGAGAATTATATTTTTTTTACGGATGTAGTACTATAAATTTTCTAACCGGTTACTAGTAGTTTTTCTGCATAACTGATTAAACTTTTCTATGAATATGTCTCTTTTTTTTTGCATGTCAGCTTTTTATTCTCTCTTTTCTTATGTGAATGTTTATAAATATCTCTAATTATATTATTCTTTTGATTAGTTGCATGGTTGATGGACTTTATTTGCTGCTAACTTAAGTAACAAATGAGCGCTCAATAAAAGTCCCGCTTTGTCGACGGAGGTACCAGCTCCTCTAGCTTTAGCACAACGACGGTCGCTGCACGTACGTTCAATAGATCTGTGCTATCGAAAGTGCTGTCTCATGTGAGGTCTAAACGATGACTCCAGCTCTTCAGAGGAGACGTTGTCCCTGGATTGAATCTGGACGGAGTTACTCTTTTTCCTGCGAGGCGCGTCAGTGATGTATTGTCCCTTTGGGGATCGATCAACATATGCCGTCCTCTATGTATGTGCAAAAAACAATTTTTACAAGGGATTTGTTTGTAATACCTAGGGTGTTCAGCTCCAATAAAATTATAAAATCTAGCCCCCTTCTTTGGGTTGCCGGTTTTGCGACAGTTTCCCACGCTAGTTTTGTCGCTTTTGTATGCACGCGTAATTATCTATTACTTTCTAGGAGGTAATATGCTAAATATATATTTGTTTAATTTTAGTTTAGTAAAATAGGGTAATCAAATAAAGTTTTAGATATAAAAATATTTTTTTCTAGATCTAATTGATGTGTATGATCCATTTGATATGGTAAAACCTTTTATTTTGCAACTTTAGATATGACAAAATTTTATTAGTATAAATTGTCATGGGAGCTAATTTAATTAGCATGTAACTTTTTGTTCTCCTGTACGTGACAGTTACACGTTGTAGCGTGTTTCATATCCAACGTCTATTAGTTGACGTGCACCATATTTTAATTGAGAAGGTCATCTTAATTATGTAATATAGTTTTAATCAAGTTAGCATGAGACTCACTTGACTACATAAGTACATAACGTGTTAGTGTGTAACATATTTTAGATCACTAAAATTAAAGAATCAATTAATTAATGTGTTAGCTACCGATCCTTTCCATGCATGTAACATATTTTTAATTGATTTTGTAACATGACTTTTTGCCCGTGTTTATATTCAAAAAAAGTTTCAAAAAAGTGCTACAGTACCCATCACATCGAATCTTACGATACGTGCATAGAGCATTAAATGTAGACGAAAAAAATTAATTGCCCAGTTTGGTTGGAAATCGCGAGACGAACGTTTTGAGACTAATTAGTCCATGATTGAACACTAATTGCCAAATAAAAACGAAAGTGCTACGGTAGCCAAATTCCAACTTTTCAACCAACTAAACACGGGCTTTCTATGTAATTAGTTTTCAAAAAATAAACTACAATATATACAATACCTTTTTTCCATATGTAAATAGACCTGCGCATGAAAAAAAGAGACCGCTTCTTGTGCCTTATATACGGTGCTGCACATGGTGCTTTGTGCACCACGCACAAACGAAAAAAAAATCACGGAAGGAAGCAGGATTTTGGCAGATTTTTCTGTCTTTTCTTTGGTATTTGTTTATTTAATTAATTTATAAAATCTAATAAATAATTAACTGACACGGGTTTTTTCTTTAAATAAAAACACTCGCTGACACGGCGCAACAACCTTTGACGGTGATAGAGCAACTGATCCGTGGCTATTTTCTTTCTCTCTCTGCCTTGTTCAAGTGTTTAACGATAATCCTCGCAAAAAAGTGTTTATGGATGAGAGTAGCACACTGCTAGCAACTAGCAAGGGTCACCCAGCTCCGGATCAGCCCTCCAGCTCCCAATGCGCGATCGATTGCATTTAAGAGCTGGCTGTAGAGGAGACTTGGACATTTATTTGCATGTGCATACCAAGTGCAGGCGGCTTCTCGCTGATACGCGGGCTAGGAAATATTTACTCTCCCAGCCCGCGTACCTTGTGGCTTGTGCTCTGGCCCTTTTTCTGTTGACGTGTACTTGTCTCAGCCGGCTAATACAGGTTACTATACTTGCTCTAAGTACAAACCACAACTAGGCAAAGCAACAACGCTAAACAAAGGCCTCCTCTCCTCAGCTTGTCCCCACAAGCGGGTTCGTTTCTGCCATCGTCGTGAGCGCTAAGTGACAAGTGAAGAACTACGAACTTTTGTGTTGTGCTCTCATCGTCTGATTACAAGCTCTTTTTTTTTGTAAAAAAGAGGAGAGTTCTATGTTAATTTTAACCGATCATTGCAATTGCAAAGGATAGCTCAATAGATTCCGGAGCATCAGTGCACTAAGTTCATCCAGCACACAATGATTAACTAACCTAGTAACCTTATAATCATATACTAGCTGACGGTTTTTTTTTTATAAGTGAACGCGAACGCAGGGGGGAACGAAAAAGGTTGGTACTGTTCCTTCGCGGGACGGGCACTGTTCGTCGTGATCCGTTACTGTTCATCTACAGTGATCTGTGAGGGGCGCGCCGGTTGAACAGTGATGGCGACGTGACCCCCCTCAAAATTATATTCTTTTATAGATAGATATGAGCTGCTTCATTACATCCTTTTACGAACATTGACGAAAGAGGACCGAAGTCCCCCTTTACTAAATGCATCCATCCAGTGGCTAAAACGGGGCAGGATTCTCGTCCCGCACACGCACGCACATGCACGGCCAACGCCAGTCGCCAACGCAACAAGTTAGGAGCACGAGCGAGCACCTGTGACAGTGAGAGAAAACGCCTCTTTCTCATATTGTTTAGGGCCAGACTTGTCAGGGCTCATCACGAGCAAAGAATTCTTGCTATCCAACCAATTGGGATCGATGTTTTTTTTTAAGCCGCTGCCGAGAGCTGAGAGCAGACCTGAATCATGGATGGATGAACAGCGTGGAAAAGTTCCACTCCCACGATTCCTGAATATTCATAGCGTGTCCGCGAGTCCCGGCGGCACGTTGCCACCTGCTCCGCTAAAGAAAGCCCTATCTCTCTCCTGCTTGTCCTCGCATATGCGTTTGTTTCTGCCGGTGTCGTGAGCGGTCCGTCCGCCAGCAGTATTTCAGCGCTCCTGCAGCTCAAGCGTTCAAGGAGTAGCTGCAAGCTTTGCCAAGTGAAAGATGACCGGGTGGTCAGCAACACCGTCACTCCGTCAGTAGCTACGACAGCGTGGTAACAACTGAGATGTACTAATTTCGCTCACACATGTTCTTCAGGCTAGGTTAGAATCTCGTATGAAAAATAAGAACGAGATAGAATAGACAAGAATGTGGTTCAAGCACTAAAAAAAGCCATGTTCGCTTGAACTTATCAGCCTGTCTTATCAGCCATGGTACAGTATTTTTATCTCACAACAAATCAGCTTCAACCGGCTTATCAGCCGCAGAAATCATCAGCCTTAATTACTACTCAGTTTCATTTTTTTTATGTCGAATCAAGACTCTACGTCACTGTCTACAATTCAAACATTGATCTTTTCACCTGCCTCTGTCTGCTGAAGCCTATGCAAAATTCCAGATTTTCTCCACTATCCTCCATGGACTACAGCTGCAACAAGATACTGATATTTGGATCTATATATGGGGATCTTCAATCTTTTCCTCTAGCAAGGTTTATAAGCAGCTTACTGGCCATCAGCATGTTCATAGAGCTTTCAAGTGGTTATGGAAGTCTGCTTGACAAAACAAAAGAAAAATCTTTTTCTAGCTTCTCCTAAATGATCAAGTACCAGAGCGCTTCTTAAATGCGACAATATACATCTAGGTGACCACAACTGTGTTCTTTGCTCCCTGGCTGTTGAAATGGATCTCTTTCACCGGATGCTGGATTGCCTTTTGCTTCGGCTTGCTGGTTTTCTCTGAACCTGTTTGTACCCCTTAACAGTGGCCCTTTTGAAATCTTGGAAAGTTTCAGAGATCAACTTCAACTTTCTTTCTTCATGGAGATTATAATCACAATGTGCTGGGCCATTTGGACGATGCATAATAACATTTTCAGCAATGTTCCACACTCAGTGCAAAGATGCAAGGCGGTCTCCAAAAAATAATTTGCTCTAGTTATTCTAAGAGCAAAAGCTTGTTTTCATCCAAGTATTAATTTATAGCTAGAAGCCTTTGTGCAATCCTCTTTAGGTCTGTTTGGAATGGAGGAATACAAAACAGAGGAAAAGAATAAAACACAGGAATAGATAGAAAACAGAGGAATAAGAAACATACGAATTTTATAGGAATGGGTGTTTGGAACACAGAATAGTAGAACATGTTTATTGCTCCATTCTAGTGAATAAGGACTTGTTCATCCATCCATTCACATGTAGGAAAATTTTTCAAGAGCCTGAAGTGGATGTTTTATTTCTTCTATTCCAAACACCATGTGATGTAAGCAAAACATCGGAATTGGATTCCTTTGAAATTCCTATGAAAATCCTCCAATCCAAACAAGCCCTTATTTTCTTTTTGACCTTTTTTTGTTTCTTAAACTCTGTATTGCTCTTTGCTCTTTCCTTTTTTTAATAAATTTCCAGTAGGGGTTTTCACCACCTCCTGTTTTATAAAAGAAATGGCCTAGAGCCCTAGAATGTATACGATTGGGACAGGAAAAAAAAGGCAACCCTGTAGATGTAGGGTCCGTTGTTGTCAACAGTAGGAAAATTTGCTCAGCCAGTAAACGCTGCTGCTTAGATTTCTTCTCCCGGTAAACGACGGTGACATTTTTCCAGGGGACCGCAACCAAGTTTGAATTTTGAACTTTGAAATATCAACTCTGTTTCGCCACTATCTCAGTAACAAGATCTTCCACTATCAAGTTTACCTATTTCAAAAAAAGAAAGAAATGGAGACAGGATAAATTTGAATTTGAAAAAAAGGTCCCGGGTTACTGAAAACCTGGCCTGTTTGGAAAGGGAGTTCTGTTCTGTGAAGCAAATTCTTGTGATCTAGTAGACCCTAAAATTCCTAGTGCATTCACGATCCCCGTGTAGGTTAATTTGCCTAGAGATTGAACCCTGGTGTACAGCCATGAGCCATTGCAGCTTAAGTGCCTGCCAAAATGGAAAAAAATTGGTGAAGACCATCCCTACCAGATGTGGTGAGAACCATGCAGTTGATAGGTGGGCCACAATATCATTTTAAACACATGCATGGTAAATTAGATGTCCCGTGGGTCACCTGTCAGCTGTACAGTCCTCACCATACCCTAGTAAGGATGGTTCTCACTAAATTTCTTTCCCCAAAAACTGGCATATTGCACATGTTTTTAGCAACAGGGTGAGTTATGATCGAATATTTGTGGAAAAAGGATGAAATTGATTTTCTACACACAAGTTAAGATTAGGTGATCGATCTACACAAAGTTGATCACAAACTTGAATTTCGTAAATCCAAAAGGTACATCAAGATTCAAGAGTGTGGTACTCTACTCTGAGATAAGTGCCATTCTGCAGACATCACCAAGAAGAGCAACTACGTACTGAACATTGAAATGTGCAATGATTTGCTTTGCCATAAGGCAAAATTTGAGGCATTTTGGCACAAAAATGCATCGACTGACTACACTACAACGAGCAGGATCCTCTAATGTTCTTGGGTTCCTCTTTACACCGCAGACGCACATACACCTGACACTTGTTACTTTCCCCGACAAGGGCCAACACCCAGGAGAGAGGCGGGAGAGCAAGAAACGACGACGCACGCGGTTGAGGTGAAGCTAAGCTAATGATGGCAGAGCGGCGAGAGATCCCAGAGCGAGTCGCAGGCGGAGGCGTCGAGCACCCGGTCGAAGTACTCCTGCAGGCCGTTCATAGCGTACAGCGACGCCGAGATGCGCCGCTCCACCTTGATCCGCTCGAACTCGGCCATCTCGGCGCCCTGCGTCGCGGCGGCGACCGACTCCTCCGTGGTGCCAGCGGCTGGGACAGCGCCGTCGACGGCCGCGAAGCTGTCCAGCGCCGGGAACTGGCCGAACGCCGAGTCGAACATCCAGGAATCGAACTCCTCGGCACCCGCGGTGGCGAACTCCGGCCGGTACACCTCGCCGGCGTCCAGTGCGCCGATGCCGCCGTGTTGCATGGCCATGGCGTCGTCGCAGCTGACCGCGCTGCTGGAGCTGGAGCTGCTGCTGCTGCTGCTGGAGCCACCACCACAAGCACTATTCGTGCTATGACTATGACTATTACTATTGCTATTGATATTGCTTGAGGTGGGAGCAGGGGAGCTCGACGCCTGCTGCTTGGCGGCGGCGGCAGCGGCCGCGGAGGAGCTCGCGGCGGCGGCCTTGGCCTTCTTGATCTTCTTGTGGTGGAGGAGCCCGCGGATGCGGACGGCGAGCGGGCAGTCGGGAGAGATGCGCGGCGCGAAGTTGGTGCGGGCGTCGCTGCCGCGGAGGAGGCGGGCGGCCTCGTCGTAGGCCTTGGCCGCGGCCTCGGCGGTCTCGAAGGTGCCGAGCCACATGCGGATCTTCTGCGTGGTGTCCTTGATCTCCGCCACCCACCGGCCTGACGGGCGCTGCCGGACGCCGACGAACTTGCTGTGGTTGTTGCTGCCCTTCTTCCGGCCCCGTGGCTTGGACGGCTTGGCCTGCGCCGCCGCCTCCTGCTGGTAGTAGTAGTAGTAGCTGCTGTAGTCCTCGAGCTGGAACACTGGTGGCTGCGCCTGGAAGTGGAGGAGCTCCATGTGAGCTAACTTTCTTGACTTTGAGCTGCTGGTTGGAGTGGTTGGAGAGGAGGAGGAAGACAGGTGTCGATGCTTGGTACTTCTGCTGGTGGTGAGCAGTTGAGCACAGGGGGGAGGATTTATAGTGGATTTCAGGGCTCGCAGATTGCAAGGAATCCATCGAGTCACTTGGCAATGGAACCTGTGGGGTTACTGTCAGAGGCTGGTCAAATGCTGGTCTGCCTATGATCATGTCATGGAAATGGAAGTGAGTGTTTGGGGGATAAGGCATCTTGTAGGGATCCTTTTGTCCTTTCAGTTTGTTTTTCGGTTTTGCCCTCATGCATTGTCAGTGAGCAAACTAGCTAAGCCTGTCCTTTTGTACTTAATAATAAAATTCAGTAGTTTTTGTTTTTGCTGAATACAATCAACAAAATTGAGGAATTTGTAGCTATAGTGCATCATGCCGGAAACGTCAAATTTACCGAGTGTTTTTACGTTTGCCGAGTGTATTTCTTCGGGCACTCGGCAAACAAATTCTTTACCGGGTGCTATACTAAAAACACTCGGTAAAAAAAACACTCGGCAAAGAGGGTAGTTTGCCGAGTGTCAAACAAAAAAACACTCGGCAAACAGGAAGTTTACCGAGTGTCATAGAAAACACTTTCGGTAAAAAAAAAGCAGTTTGCCGAGAGTGTCCAAAAACAACGCCTCAGTAAACCCAAAAATATATAAAAAAAACCGTCCGCCCCTAAAATCCACCCCTCCCTCCCCAACCCCTCCTCCTCACCCGCCTGCCTCCCTCCCCAAAGACCCCCCCCCCCTCCTCCCGCGACCCGCCCTCCCTCCTTCTTCTTCTTCCACGCCGCCCTTGGCCCTCCCTCCTCCTTTCTTCTTCCCACCTTGGCCGGCCCCTCCCTCCTCTCCCTCCCTCCTCCCTTCTTCTTCTTCTTCCCGGATCCGCCCCTCCCTCCCTTCTTCTTCCCCGGATCCGCCCCTCCCTTCTTCTTCCACATGGGCCATGGATCCGCCCTCCCTCCTCCCCCCTTCTTCTTCCGCCGGTGGATCTAGCCCTCCTCCCTCCCTTCTTGTTCCCCAGATCCGCCCCTCCTTCTCTCCTTCCCCGGCGTCATGGATCCGCCCTCCCCTCCCTCCTTCTTCTTCCCACGGCGGCATGGATCCGGCTTCCGTCCTCCCTCCCTCCTTCTTCTTTTCGGGGATCGCAGATCCGCCCCTCCCTCCTCCCCTTCTTCTTCCCAAAGGGCTAGCTATTGTGTAAAATTTTTGTAATATATCGTAGTAACACATTTTAGCTTTATTACCTTGATGGCTTGATAGTGTTCTCAGAGTTGTAGAAGAACAAATCTTTCTAGTAATTTTTTCTTCTTTTTATCATATATGTTTCTTATAACTGCAGAGGTGTTTTCGTTTTGTCTTGGGGTGCTTGATATAAATATTTTATTAAGTTTCATGTAATTTATCTCGCTATGTGAAATCTAGAAACTTAATGTAAGCTTCTGATTTTCTCTAAGCCGAATAAGTGCTCTCAACACCCTACATCATCGCACCGGTTGAAAACACTGCTTTGTTGGTGTGCATAGAGTTCATACTTACGCACTTCCTTCCTCATCATATCAAATCTTAGGCAATTCAAGCTTAGTTGAATCAACTTGCCTCCACGTGCAAGATCCCAGGAACATTGCTATGTCTCATCTGTTAAGTACAAATGAGCAATTATTTTCTATGGTCTATAAAATTCTACTAGTAGCAGCTTTCTTTCGAAAACTAAAGAGCTCTATCTTTGGGCAGGTCTTCTGCGCCTTTTGTGTTTCTATGCTTTCCACTTGTTTAGTTTCTGCATCATACTTGACTCCCTAATGCAAAAATGAAACTAAGTACTCCATGTTCAGCCGCTAATCTATTGCTCATCACATATAGTTTGCAGTTTTGACATTTTCTTGCCCGATTATTTTCTGTAATAGTCGCTAATCATACCAAGCAGACTATTTTCTGACATTTTATTTCTCGCTGCTTTGTTAAGATTGTAGGTTTTACTAGCTTCCACTTATGCAAATGGTAGTGAGGATCGCTCTTTGAAGATATGGAAAGGTGATATATTTGGTATTCTAAATGCAAGGGCATTTCTCATGTTAAACTTGTACATATATTCTCTCATCAACGCATGAAATCGACTAAGTTATGGTATGATTCGATTCGCAAATTGTCTTGTCTATAGAAATGTAAACTTGTGGCTAACTACTAAATGTTTAAACACTTATTCTCTTTGCATGTCCAAAGATGGTGAAACTAAAGGAATATAACAACTTTGCGGTTCAAAGATCTTAGCAATAGCTATTTTTCTCTGAAAGTATCTAAGTATGTATGCAGGAGTACTAAAGCTTTCTTCTTGCTTTCTTCTTGTTTAGTTATTCTTAAGCCGATTTTAGCATGCTACATAGGCTGGTCGATAATAAGTGCCTAGAAGTGCTTCCTGTTGTGTTGTTCGTACAAGCAACTCTTTTGTTGATATCATGTGTTATTGTGTTCCTCTGTGTAGATGTTTCTTGGATAAACTATGTGCTTGATCACAAAAGGAAGTTGCTGCAGCTTGGTTGGTTGGTTCAGTTCAGATTACACATACTAAAACTAAAGTTTCAGTCTGGTTTAACATTCACACTTTCCTATTTAAAAACTATATATATTCTCGCTTCCAAACCGCATGCATTATATTATTGTTGTAATATTGGACTTTCATTTGTTTTACTATTGTCGGTGTTTTGGACTGGGGGTCCTCAACCAACTAGTGAATTTGTTCTGCGTGCTCCCGAGACATTGCAAAGACTTTCATTTGTTTTACTATGTCATTAAGTACCATCATAACTGCTCGTAGTATGCTTGTGAGAGAAGGAGCCCTAGGTCTCATGCGTGGTGCCGGCCGCTTGAGACGTTGCTCTCCCGTGGCAGGAGTGTGCGTAGAAATAAGGTGTTCTTCCCTTTAGCACTTGTCCTGCAATGAGGAGGACTAGTGTGAGCCGACTATTCGTGTGAACAGAGGCGGCGTGTCCGGCCTGTGTAGCATGTTCCTCGTGGTACCTCCATCCTTGAGTTTGTGGTCATCCCATCGTCGATCCGTGTAGGCGTCGTGGGAGCCCCGGAATGCTCTCGAGTGGACGCTTGGCGGCGGCGACTGCAAGCAAGCCACTGTTGTGCGAGGCTTCATGTTGGACGAACTCTCCGCCACTATTTTATTTGTAACTCATCATGGTATGAAAATTTCAAGTGGTCAGTTTGTTATCGCTAGTTTTGTTGATCATGGAATCGGTAGGACATTTTAATCTCATCTCTCTTTTCCAGGACACAAAGCCGGTATGGTCTGAGCTGGCCCATCCCTGTTCCTGTCCCCGGCGGTATGGCGCTGATGTGACTCGAAATCGTTGTCGGCCATCCTGTGGCGCTGAGCCACCGTCCGCTATGTCTCTTATATGTAGGGTCCACGGACGGATACGAGCCGGGCCTCGAGCGACACACGGAGAATGAGGCCTCGCGGGCGGAGATCATGCCTTCCCGAGGCCTCATTTTTCGCGTGATAGCGGAGAATGTACCCTACCGAGGCCTTCTATAGCCTCGGCGAGACGGAGCATCCCCCTCGCAGATTCCTCTCTAGTGTGTGACCTAGCTTTGCTCTAAATTTGTTTCGAGACCCCCGCCGAGGCTCGAGGCGAGGTGGAGGAGGGCCATTGCCGTGCGGTGAGAGGGCCCACGGCTTATTTGTTACACCCGCTCTAAGGTACCCGACAACTTGTCATTAAGTACCATCATAACTTAACAATTCGTGCGTGTACTTAGAAATATCTTCTTAACACTTGTTGCAATAGTATTGTGTTTTTAATTGTGCCTTTGTTACTCTAGCTATTGCAACTTTTGCTTAACATGTTGATGTTCTCCTTCACTATTTTATTTGTAACTCATGGTATGAAAAATTACGAGTTTGTTATCGCTAGTTTTTCCGAATCGACATTTTTCTCATCTCTCTTTTCCAAAGAGCTTGTGCCCATCTGTTCCTTCTATGTCTCTATATGTACAAAGCGGCATAGGATGTCGTCGTTGTTCATGCCTTCCCTGGTTTTCAAATAGCGGCAGCAAGACTAAGACAAGGTAAGCATCCCGCAGATTCCTCTCTGTGCCTAGCTTTGCTCTAAATTTGTTTCGTCGCGTCACCCATTGCCGCGAGCGGCAATTTGTTACGCAAATACTACCTTGATTTTAGATCAACAACACAAGGTATTCTTTAACAACAACAATTCATCAACTTTCTTAACGCGCTTCTCCGAGAGCTGAACGGCGCCATCCAGACCCTTTGGCCTCATCATCGCCGTGGCCATGAACGCATCTACCGAGGCCCGGCGGGAACTCGTGGAATCTGTAGGCACTGCCTCATCACCATCATCACCCCGTGTAGACTCTTTGTGGATGTGTGTCTCGTTGCTTGTCAACTGTGTTGGCGGGCTGACATGGTTGGTGTTCTTGATTCTTGCAGGTCTTGGCACCTGCAAATATGCTTGAGATGGATGCATGGGAGGAAGAGGGACTACCGTGATGTTGAACAATGGATCTGAATAAGATTGTAGGGATGATTGTTTTTGTTTGTTATTTATGTCCATTATGTGAGCAGAAAGTATCCTTACCTTACAGAATCAGAGCCGCTAGAATTCCAATCCAAGACCTGCAAATATTTTTTTTCTTTGGAAAATAGGTTTGCCGAGTGTAATTTCAAAAAACACTCGGCAAACAGTAACAGTATGCTAAGAAAAAATATTTTTTTTCTTTGGAAAATAGGTTTGCCGAGTGTAATTCCAAAAACACTCGACAAACAATAATCCTTCACCGAGTGTATTTTGGAAAAACACTCGGCAAACCACTTTTTTTTGCCGAGTGTCAAATTTGACACTCAGCAAACCATTTGCCGAGTGCGCGATAAAAAACACTCGGCAAATAGCTGTTTGCCGACTCTGGAGATGCCG